TCAGGCATTAAATGATATATACGTATTTGAAATCACGTACGCATATGATAGACATTAAATGATATATAAGTATTTGAAATCACGTACGCATATGATAGACATTAAATGATATATAAGTATTTGAAATCACGTACGTATATGATAGACATTAGATGATATATAAGTATTTGAAATCACGTACGTATATGATAGACATTAGATGATATATAAGTATTTGAAATCACGTACGTATATGATAGACATTAGATGATATATAAGTATTTGAAATCACGTACGTATACGTTAGACATTAAATAATATATACGTATTTGAAATCACGTACGTATATGATAGACATTAGATGATATATAAGTATTTGAAATCACGTACGTATACGTTAGACATTAAATAATATATACGTATTTGAAATCACGTACGCATATGATAGACATTAAATGATATGTACGTATTTGAAATCACGTACGCATATGATAGACATTAAATGATATATAAGTATTTGAAATCACGTACGTATATGATAGACATTAGATGATATATAAGTATTTGAAATCACGTACGTATACGTTAGACATTAAATAATATATACGTATTTGAAATCACGTACGTATATGATAGACATTAGATGATATATAAGTATTTGAAATCACGTACGTATACGTTAGACATTAAATAATATATACGTATTTGAAATCACGTACGTATATGATAGACATTAAATGATATATACGTATTTGAAATCACCTACATGTTAGACATTAAATGGTACATACGTATTTGAAATCACGTACGTATATATTAGACATTAAATGATATAAACGTATTTGAAATCACGTACGTATATGATAGAAATTAAATGATATAAATAAATTTGCTATCATATTTTTACACATAAACAGAAATAATGATCATAACAAAATTTATTAGTAATGATAAGAAATTTTTGATTAATTATGCTTTTGTTTAACTGTTTGATTGAAAGAAACATTCAAAAGTAATTAATCATAAGAAATTTGATCAAAGTTATAAAATATTCCGTTAAATATAAATAAAATAAAACTTTTCATATGAACGGGAAAAAAAAGAATAAAATTGTTAAAATGAAATCCTAGAATGAAATCATAATTTTTATTATCATTTAATAAGTATTATTGCGTTATCATAATTTTATTATCATTTAATAAGTATTATTTAATAAGTACATTTAATAAGTATAATTAACATTCTTATCATTTAATAAGTATAATTAACATTCTTATCATTTAATAAGTTATGATATCAAATTTTACTGAAATTTCATTTATTAAATTTCAACGTGTTTTACTATAATTTACACGTTATCACACGTCAACACATCATTACACGTTACATTTTTTAACTTGATAACTTAACATTAAAAAAAAGAAAAAAGAAAAAACTGTGATAAATTAATTGAATAAAGCATAGCTAACGATAAAAATATAAATATATTGCTGTAGCATTAAAAAAATAAATGAAATAGGAATTTTAATTGAAAAAGAAAAATTATTACAAAATATTATTCCAAAAATTCATTTCTAATCAAATATGCTTAATTAATTAGCTTTAATTAGATGCTTATTAATTAGTGCATCTTACATTGATGAATTGTAATTAAAAAATGAAAAAAGCGCAACGATGAAAAAGTAAATAATATAAAATTCTTAAATAGATAATATAAAATGTCACCAAGTTGAGTGATAAATTTTATAATGAATATTCATCGTTTGTAAATAATACAATAATATAAATATAAGATGATTAATTAACAAGGACAAGGATACGTTATCATTATCATTATCATGATTATTACTATTATTATCATTTTTGATCCCTACCCGGGTATGGTAATGGTGTATGTATATCATTTAAAGGAATGTAAATAATAAAATGATCAAATACAGCATTTGTAGCCGCAATACAGCACCTATCACCAATGCAACCTTCATTATCATCATTATCATTATCGTCATCAGTAACATCACCATCACCATCACCATCACCATCAACATCATCAATATTATCAGCGTTATTTGTGCTAGTAAATAAGATGCACACAGATACCATTTCTCACTTTCTCTCTTCTATCATCAATTATCATTTCATCAATTTTAATCACATCATTTCTATCAACCATAAACAATATTAATGTTAATCTCTCCATTTCATCTTCTCTTTCTCTTTCATTATACTTCCTCGTATCGTATTTTTATAATATAATATTTTGAAAATTATTTTAATTAATAAAAATTATTATTCAAATTTTTTTTTTTATCTTTTAATAAAATAATAATTGCTTCTTTTACTTCATAATCTTATCAGAATATTTGAAAAGTTATAGATTACTAAATGGATCATTTATTTTTGAAGTCATTTTTTAATTTATACTTAATGTCTTTATCACCTAAATTAATAATTTGCTATAGTAATAATAAATTATCTTATTATCATTTAATAATGGTATCAGCTATCATTATCACAACTAGTTATTTTCATTACTATCATTAGTTCAGTAAACAAAAAAAAAAAATTATAAAATTTGAAATAATTAACAAAATAAACAACAAAATCTCGTTTAAAAAAACAAATTTATTGATTTTTTTCCCCGATCAAATGTTATTCTTTCTCTTGAAATTATTGAAACTAAAACATTTCAATGCACTGATAACATTAATAGCACTGATAAAAAGTGATATGGTTTTTTTTTTTTTTTTTCAAAAATATTTTTATCATTTTTTTTTGTATTATCTTTATCAGAATCAATTTCACTTTATCAGTTTCATTATTCCATTAAATTTTTTAACAAATAATTATCAGTTATTAAAGTATGACAGATAGAAAGAGATGAAATAATATACGATAAGATGAAATCAAATTAAAAATTAAACACAAAGAGTTTTTCCTCGTGTTTTTAAAACATTAAAATATTGCAGTGTAATTTCTCACGCTTACCTACAAACAACATTACGTGTAAAATTTTTAATTTTTTAAAACCAATTTTGTAAAAATTTGTTTAAAACCAATTTTGTAAAAATTTGCAGTAATAATTTCAGATCATTTACCTTAGCTGGTATAGATCAAATTGTCACATGGTGATAATTTTAAAATATTTTACACTATCATTTATCTATTAAACAAATGATTTTCACAATTTTATTGTAATATGGCAGGTGATAATTGCCGTGCTTCACATGATCAGTGTAAATGATCTATTATCTTATATCAAATTTTACTAAAACAACAAAAAAAAAAACAAAATAAACAAACAAAAAAAAAAACATTTTGTTTAATTATGTAATTAAAATCGGTTAATTATTTCATTTAAAAATTAGCATATTATTAATATTATTATTATTAGTATTTTTCAGGTTAATTTATACCTATTACCTAAGCTTATATTAACCTAAGAAATAGTTACTTTTAAGAAATGATATTCTTTAGCATTTTTTTCAACATGATTTTTATAAACTTGTATTAATTTAAGAAATATATTACTTTTAAAAAAAATGATATTCATAACATTTTTTGTCAATAGGATTTTTAAAAGGTTTTAGAGTACACAAATGATAAGAATTTAATATTTTTTAATTAACTATTATAAGAATAACTTATAAGAATTTAATAGGAATATAAGTGCTTAATAACTAATAAAAATTTGATGTATTTAACAAGTATGTATAAATAAGTTTTAAATATAAGTTTCAAATATAAATTCAAGGATCATAATGTTAAGTACAGATGTACAATTAAATTAGATATTGTAGAAAGTGATGCAAAAATTTGAGATCAAACTATTTTAAAAAATATTTGTATTATTTTATGCTTTTTTTTTCTTATACGAGAATTTCTAATTTAATATAAAATTTAAGATTTATAATCTAAAAAAAAAAAAAAAATATCAATAGACAATAACAATAATTTTATTTAATGCATAAATGTTTTTAACGATTAAGGAAGTATAATAATAAAAATATTTTTGATATCATTATTAGTAATTTTTATTTAATTTTTATAGAAAATGAAACAATTATTATTATTATTATTTTAAATTTAATTTTTTTTGATTAAAAATTTTTTTATTTAAATTTAACAATAAATGTTTCATTAGTCGATTCTAAATTCTTCAAAAAAAATTTCTTGCCTTACTATATTTTTTTTAAAAAAAAAGGAGCAAAAACTTTTGCAGAAATTTGAACTAATAAAACAAATGCAAATTTTAATCAAAAACTTTTAAAAATACATAAATTAATGCGTGAAATTCCATTTAAATTAACACATATTCATAACTTATTTATGCAAATTTCAGATTTAGAAAAATTTTTGGAATTATTTTTAAATTTATTTTTGGATTTAAATTCAAGCATAAACATAAGATTACAGTTGGGTAAAGGTAAATGATAAGAAAAAGGTTTTTTTTTTCTCTTTACTTGTCATTTGTTTCAATTTTCTATTTTCCTTTTTTAAGTTTTTTTTTTTTTTTTGGATAGATTTTGTCTAAAATTTCTTGCTCGAAAAATGGAATGGGATGCGATTTTCATAGCGTCCTACTTTGAGTACTTGGCGGGTTTACGTAAGGGGGTCGTCGCGCTGCGCTGACTGACGTGGGAGTTGCGTGGCGTGAAGGGTGGAGTGCATGGCGTGAGGGGTGATAGTGCGTGACGTGAGAGGTGTTAGTGCATGACGTGAGGGTGGTAGTGTATAACGTGAGAGATGGTAGCGCATGACGTGAGAGGTGGTAGTGCATGACGTGAGGGTGGCAGTGCATGACGTCAAGAATGTTAGCGTATGACTGTACTTTTATTATTATAATGAACGTATCTTTTTCATTTTAGATTACTTTCACTTGATGTGGATGTGGATTTCCTGCTCGTTCCATGAATCAAGGATTAGCTGATGCTTTCGCTGATATTAAAAAAAGGATAACCTGACATTGGACAAAGATGAAAGCTATTGGACGTTATTCATTACTAGGAATTTTCTTGCTAATGATAGGATTATTTTTTTCCTATCGACGCTACCTGAAATTAACGTCGGAACCACTTGAAATATCATCCTATATCACTGAATTGGAGTTGTTGAATATTCAAATACCATATCATACCGAAGAATGGCCTGTCAAGTATGTTTAATAGTTTTGCTTGATAAAATCTCTAAATTAACAATTTTCGAAAAGATAATTTAGGTCAAATAGTTTTCAAGCAATTTCACTAGAAAAGCAAATTGCAATGGTGACTGATGATGGATGAACTGTCATTTTATTTGTTACTGACAGAGTGACAGATTCTTCCAAATTTGAGTTTTATTTGAATATATCTCATTTTAGTTGAGTTTAATCACACTGCATATTTTTTAAATAATGAATTTTAAGCGGCAAAAAGACCGTGTAGAATTTTGCAACATTCGGCTTGAGCTAAAAAATGCAACTATAAATGTACTTTTTTTTAAGACTAAATTTTTTGAGATAGGAAAGGAAAAAGGAAAGTGTTTTTGTAAGGATATATTTTGGCTCCAATGACCTTATCACATTGGTCTTTTTTCTATTGTAGCTCATTTTAACGTTAACGTTAGCTTTTTTAAGCTCAGTTTTTCTCTGTTTCTTTTTTTTTTTTTTGAAGGATTTCTGAATGTACAATGTCACAGTGTTTCGATTTATCGCGATGTTTAGCGCATGATGCATTTCGCGTGTATGTTTATCCATCAGACAACAGCTCAGTAATGTCCGTGGTATACAGTAACATATTAAAAGTCAGTTCTTACACTTAACGTAATAATACGTACTTTTTATGTATTAATATAACTTTGTTAAATGTTTGAAATATGCCAGTGGTTCTTCTCTTTTTTTTTTTTTTTTTCATTTCAGAATATGTCAGAATATTTTTTCTGTCAGAATATGAATAAACGAAGAAATATAAGGTTTAATTCTTTAAACCTTGAGAAATAGCGAGGAAAATTTACATATTAGAAACTACGTGGTCAAATCCATGAGCTTGAAAGACAATGTTTTTCCTTTTCTTTGATCTTTTTGGCTTATTCTGAGATCTAAAATCTGGTGCGAACTCTTTCTTTTGATTTTATAGTTTGTTTTTGATTGAAGTGTTCACTTTTTTTTGTTTTCTATATATATTCTATATTGAAAACCTAACTGATGCTTACTGGTTTGGCAAAGATTACTTTCGGTGCTTTCTAGGTTATCCGAGAAAGTATCTATTATACCAACGACCCTCAGAAGGCTTGCTTGTTTGTTCTAGGCATCGATACTGTAGATCGGGATAGAAGGAGGTATTGGATGCATCAATTATCATTTATTCCTAATCATTGTTTTTTTTTTTTTAGTTTGGAGTATAATATAATGTGATGTCGGTTCTAAATTTTTTGAAATTATTCTTCAGTTTTTCTACAAGCAAGATCTCATATTTTTAGCGAAAATTATGTAAAGTATGTTAATGAATTGATAGAAACTTTACCGAGTGAAATTTGGAATTATGGTCGCAATCATATTATATTCAATCTTTATCATGGTACATATCCGGATTATTCGGATCACGACCTCGGTTTTGATACAGGCTATGCTCTCATTGCTCGTGCCAGTGCAAATACTCGAGTTAGTTTTAATGGATATTTTCCTTTTGACTGTTTTATTATTTTTCTTTCATTTTTATTTATTTTTTAATATATTTTTTCAAGGTACAACATTTTCAGATATTCAGGGAGAATTTTGATCTGTCTTTTCCTCTCTTCCATAAGGAACATCCACTAAGAACTACCGTAAAGGTTTGTTATATTTTTCTAACCTCTTAGCAGTTGTAAAAGTTTTCTTAGCCGTTGTTAAAAATTTTTTGCTAAATTTCTTGCCAGTTCCTGTTCATAAAGGCTGCATTCCTTAACTGGTGTACTGTGGCATGTTGGATTATAAATTTAATAACTTATGGAACCATTTATGTGAAAATTTGTGATAATTAAAATCTTTGCTGAAATGTATGTTTTACGAAATTAAAGCTATGGAAGATGAAAGTAAGAGAAATTGTCAATTTTCATGAATAGTGATCGTTTGTAGTGATCAACCTAACATTTCAGACGAAATGGTCATTAAAAGTAAAAGACAAATATTTGGTTAGTTTCAAAGGTAAACGATACGTTTATGGAATTGGCTCCGAAACGCGTGACTCGCTTTATCATCTTCATAATGGGCAGTCCGTAGTTATGGTTACAACATGTAAGCATAATACAGATTGGAAGAAGTATGAGGATGAACGTTGTGAAGAAGATAATGTCGAATATGATCAGTAAGAAATAGCTAATCTGTTTGGTAGTTTATTTTCAAATACAAACTGTACTTTCAATTTTAAATTCGGATAGATTGAAGACTGTTAAGAAAAGAACTATAATAACAGTTTAAATTTATTTTTCCTGTAAAATTTAGGCATTTACCGTGATTCACGGTTATGTGATGATTCCAAGGAAGTGATTAAGAATTCATTAAATTATTTTAATTAGTTTAACCTATTTGCACTTCTAATTAGGATGTCAAGAAATCTTGTGAAATTGGATCAAACTATAAAATTTTGATAATTCTATAGCAAAGGAAATTTGCCTAAATAATACAAGATTTACTATGGGAGTTATAAATTTATAGGAGCTGCATTGGAATAAATTTTGTTAGTTTTTGTTTTTCTAGTTGGGACTATGAAATGATTATGTCTAATTCAACATTTTGTCTTACACCACGTGGACGACGTCTTGGTTCATTTCGTTTTCTGGAAGCACTTCGACTGGGTTGTATTCCAGTTGTTTTGTCCGACGACTGGGAATTGCCTTTTTCGGAAGTTATTGATTGGCGTCAAGCAGTGATCATCGGTCATGAAGATACTGTGCTTACGGTCGGTCTTAATATGATTTTAAGTATGATTTAGAAAATCATGCTTACATAAATTATTACTGGTGGTATTTGTTTAAGAAAGATGACTTAGAATTTGTTTGATGTAATCTCCAAACATTTAACATGCTTTCATTGGTAATGATAATGACATTCATGAAACTTTGGCGGAGATTTTTTAGTAATCAATGTAGTTTATGTTTTTTCCTATCAATTTCTTTACAGATTTCAGATGTTTTGAATGCCATACCACTCGACCGCATATTATTTATGAAGCAGCAATCACGAGGTTTATATCAGCGATATTTTAGTAGTGTGGAAAAAATTACACTTACTGCATTGCAGGTAAAAATTATTGAAGTGAATGCACTCATCTTGTTTTTTTATTTATATTGACAAAATAACACTCTTTGTTGTGTTTACAGATCATTGAAGAGCGTATCAACAAACAACGAGGTGAGGAACCGAGAAACTGGAATCGTTTGTTTTTACCTGTTGAAAATTCTCCTACATCAGCATCATCAAATGAAAATGGTTACACAGTTCTTTTAAGAGCTTCAATAAAAGTATCCGGAAGATTGAATCGAATTGTAAATTTATTCTGTGGTATCCATGAAGTACGGAAGGTGAGATATTTGATGGCTGAATATTTTAGTTATGTTCTCGTAGTAAATTCTATTTAGAAAGAGAATTTTAAGCAAACATTGTTTCATTTATGGTTTTTTTAATAATTAGATCTTAGAACAATAGGCACAATAGATGGCTATTATAGGCAACTATTCAGATAAGACAGTTGTAGATTTTTTGCAAGTTGTGAACTTTTATAAATACTGCTGAAATAAATGGGAAAAATATCAAGAATACTGCTGAAGACACACATATAAAGACTATCGACATAGATTATGCTTGACACATTTAGCAGCTTATGTTATATACAATTTATTACTAACTTTTTTAGATTATTATACTTTGGCCCAAAAATCGTCAAATGAAAACTAATTTTGACAGTTGTGGCGCAAACATATTTGTACAACCGAGCGACTTCGACGTAAACTTATTCTGATATATTTTTAGCTGTAAATTGCATTATATGTTGGCATAAATTTTACAGAAGGAATTTTTATATAACTTAAGGTTATTTATATGTTACTAGTTTTAGGTGCACGTTGATATTTTAAGTCAAGCTCAAGCATTACAAGCTGAATTTGTTGGTACATTTATTTTATTTCTGGATGAACGTGTGCCTATTACAGTTGATGATATTCGCTTTTTAGTAGATGCAGCAAGCACTGAACCTTATCGTCTTTATGGTTTTTATGCTGCTGATTCGAAGGTTTTTTTTCCAGAAAATTTTAAATGGAAATTTTGAAAACTTGTTATTTTTTTTTTGTTATTATTTAGAGATAGCTTTAATATATATTTTTAATAAACTCAAGATCATTGAAAGGTAGACAGAGGATTAAAAATTGATTTAGTCCACTGCATCCTTAGTTTTGATATGAGAATTTATCAACTGCAATAATTTTTTGTTGTCAGCTGAATACTGTTTTCTTGAGGTGGAAGGAGGAATGCCAACAGTTGAACTTAAGCCGAGCAGTGAATACTCGTTGATTCTATTTCATCTTGCTTTAATAAAGAGGTAAGTTATATGAAATAGTTTTGTAATTTATAACAGATAAGCTAAATGGTTATTACAGTGTACTTTATAAAATAATATGTAAACTTTTTTTAAGGGAATACCTGTTGCATTTTGAGCAATGGATGCCAACACCTGCCAAAGGAATAGCATTAAAAGTATCACATTGCTTTACTTTATTAATGAATATGATGGTGGCAGAATTAACTGGACAGTCTCCGGTGTTGATTGGTAGTAGGATTCATGATAAATGGATGCTTACCAGGAATTATTCTGAATGCTTGGATAAGGTTTATTTTTCATGAGCTTTCTTCTCTTTAATAAACTTGAAACGATTAATAATAGCAAAATACAGCAAGATTTAAATCTATATTATTGATTTAACAGTTGATAGTTGATATTGCTGATATTAATAGTGCAGCAGAGATATTCTGGCTTATTTTTCTAGTTGGTTACTGATGTTTGGCCATCAGGTGCATCGTTAATCAGTAGTCAGGCGAAAATAAATCCACTTTTATATAAAGATGATATTTCATCGTCTCGTAAGAAATACGCTGGTATGGAGTATGACATTTTGTAAGATGCTCGGGTAAATGTTTAATGATTTTTCAGTTTATTGTCTTGTAAATAATCTCAGTGCTTTTTTTTTTTTTTTGAATGTTTAATTTAATAAGTTTTCTCGATTATAAATCACTGAATATGTGATTAAAAGATTCGAAAATTCATTATTTTTCGAAAAAAACCGAAATATTTTTATCTGTCGAAATAATGTATTTTTGTATTTTTAGAAAAGAAATATAAGATATAGAAATTTCATCTAAAACTGCTTACTTAAAATATTTTTGGGACGAATTAATCATCTAAATATTATAGGTGAATTTATGTATAGGTGTTTGTTGTCTAATAACTAAATTGATAATGAGTGGTTGAAAACAGCTCTGTTCACATAACTACTCTTTCATTAGGATTATAACAATGCTTTTGTATAAATATATGAGTATATCAGTACTATCTATTGTTTAATATTGTATATCAACTTATAATGTATAAGGAGTTAGACTATGCTCAATTCCGTTAGAACAATTCCGTTTCCGGAAAGCATTCCAATCGTATCTTGTCTTATTGCTGTAATCTTTTCTCATCGAATCCTTATTTTTCTACAATCTCAATTTTTTTTTTTTACAACCTCTTATCGTCTTGTCAATATTATCTGATATTTATTTCATGACTTCACTCAATGAAATTTTTATTTCAACTATCTATCTGTTCCGGTTAGCATAAAAAAGTTTCACTGTGAAGCTATAGTGATATGATGAATTGAGGCGGAAAGATGTAATTTGTTGATAGATTCTGGTTTTGTAATAAAAGGTGCATTATATTATGATCATATTAAAACATGCTTTTCAGTTGTGTCGGGGACACATCACAATATGTTGTTTTGTTTTTCGGATTGAGTAAGGGTATTTTGTATTGTTTCCTGTTTCTCATTTTGTTTCACTGCAATTTTCATAGTTTCAGACGAGAAATTGGCATTGATTGTGGTGATTATTCGAAGCATTTTAAAAATTTTTTTTGATTAATGTGAAGACGAAAAGTGATTTATGAGAAAGAGATTAGGTTTTTGTTTTTTTTTTTTTTTTTTTTCTTGAATGATTTAACATTTTTATGTATTCTGGATGACACTTATGTATTTCATCTATTTTTACTAAATTTCTAGTTCATTTGTTTTTTTTTTTTTTTTTTTTTTTTTTTAAACCTGGAAATTTTGGGTATCTTAATTTAACGCTTAGAGAGAGAGAGAAAGAAAAGGATTTAATATCTTCCATTTTTGCCACGAAATTAAAAAAAAAAAATTTGAAATTACTTAGATTGAATTTCACTTTTGAATTATGAAAGTTTTGCAAAATGCGATTTACGGATTCAAACAGATAATCGCATATGCTAACCTGAGTAGTGATTGATGGGCGGAAAAACTGATATTCGTTTCGTGTTTTCTTCTTTGATGTATCCGTGAAATACATTTATATCACAAAGTAACCGAATTATTGGGACATTATTTCTTGCCGAGTAGAGTCATACTTAACTTTATCTGTTTTAGAAAATATTTTTTAGAATTACAAAATTCTAGAAATAATACAATACCTTTTGCAAATAACAATATGAAGAAGCTTAATTGTAAAATGTTATAAATTTAAGTTAGATTATTTATTTAAATTATTATTTAAAAAATTCTTTAAATTACTATAAATTAGAAATTTAAAATAAATAAAACCATTGTTTTTAGTCGGTGTACTTTTTTTTTTTCTAAGTTGTAATTTTATTGTACAAAAAAAAAGAAACGAGTTGCTCCAAATGCGTTACTTTAAAAACTTTATAATACTTTAAAATGCTGTTTTAAAATTTAAAATACTTGAAATCCCGATTGCTTTCTCATCATTTCATCAATAATAATTTTCCTCAATTATTTTGTAGGAAATTTTTTTTTTCACCAGTATATATAAAATAAATATTAAAAATGTGATAAAATTAAGAAACATTAAAAAATGCAACAAAGATTGAGTAATGGCTAATTAAATGTGTGATTGTTTGTTAAATGTTAAAAAATTTTTTAAAAAAAAAAAAAGAAATGCAAAAAAAAGTTTTGTGGTTATCTTACATGTAATTTGGAATATTTCAGGTATTATTTTGATAACTTAAAGAATCAGAAATATATATTTTTATTTTTGAGTAAGCGATAACTACTTCTGATTCGTTGAGTTATCATTAGATACACAAATTTATTTCACAATGATAATTTAAAACAGAAAACGAAAGAAACATAAGAAATAAGCAAATACTATTAACAAAATTTCATTAATTTACGAACGGTTAATTTTGATTTATTAATTATAAATAAACTACTAGGTGGGTAATTAGTTTGATTTCAACTGAATTAAATTTTTACTTAACTTTTCCTTTACTGTAATTTTTTTTTTTTTTTTGTTGTAGTATAACATTTAGCTTTGTATAGTTAATTTAACTGTGATATTTCTTACTAAAACAAAATTGTTTTCATTGGAATATAATTTTTATTCATTTATTAGAATTATATTTATTTGTTTTTTCCTTTTTTCTTTTGCCCAATATCATATGTATCGTTGAATTGAATATTTGCTTTACTGATTATAAATAATTTATTGTTTATTTGCCACCAAAAACAAAAAAAAAAAAAAAAAAAAAAATGAAAGAAAAAAAAATTTTGCATAAAACATTACGAATCATTTGTCAATTACAAGCTATTCGTTAGTTTTTATTTGTCACCAAAAAAAAAAAAAAAATAAATAAATAAATAAATAAACAAGGAAGAAAAAAAGATATGTTTTAACAACAGGTATGGTTTTTTTCTTTTTCTTTTCAAATTTAAATTTAAAAAAAGAAAGTTTTAAATTATCTATGGCAGAATATATTTATCGTAATATCAAATGCATCAAAAATTAAAAAGATTTAAGCAAATATATCATAAAAATATCCAATTGAATTCAAAAAAATCACTGATAAATTAAATTGCTCATAGAAAAATATTCTCAAAAAAAAAAAAATTATATATGACAAAAAAAAAAAAAAACCAAAAAAACCAAAAAACCAAAAAAGAAAAATGAAAATGAAAAAAAAGAAAGAAATTTGAACGAAGAAAAATTTTTGTTTTTATTTATATTTCCATTTTTTTTTAATTTTAAATTATCATTTTCTATTTATGCTCAATTTTTTTTTTTTTTTTTGTAATTCTATTTGAATATTTGTTATTTATCAAATTATTCATGAATAAAATAAATAAAAGTTGACAATTAAAGTATGTTATTGTTGAATAATTTTCAACAAAATCATTTAAACTATTGAAAATTTGATGAAAAAAATCCTTTTTTTTAGAAAAATTCAAAAAATATAAAGTTTTCGGTTTTTTTTTTTAATATTTTTATCACTAATAAACATATCATTAATAAATTTAAACCAAACCTTTTGCATCAAACATATATGTAAATAATATGATTAAAAACAAATTTCAAAAAGAAATGATAATAAAAAAAAAAAAAAAATAAATAAAACTTAAAATCTTTTCATCTTCCTCCTATTTCCATAATCATTTTTTAACTGTTTCATAATTTAAATTTTGCAATTGTAAGCGATCATTTCGTAGAATGGAACGTCGTTTACGTGCGCAACATCTAAAATAATCATTTATTTATTTATTTATTTTTTTTTTTTAAATCATTTTTTTATTATTTCATTTTTGTTCTTTGTCTTATATTTTCTTTTTGTGTTTGTTCACTGAAAAATAAAAAAGAAAAAAATTGTTTGAAAGATTTAAAAAATTAAATTGATTATTAGTAATTAATTGTTTTTAATTACAATTTAAAAAAGAAAAAACCGAATCATTTATTTTTCAATTTTTATTTCCTTTCATCTACTTTCAATTTAATGTGAATATTGAAATAACAAAATATTTGTGTAATTATTTCTAAGATTTTTAACTAGATTATTGATGAAAAAATATTGACTGATTATTTTTGATTAAATTTATGGGGAAAAAAAAGAAGAATACCTAAAAAATTGAATTAATTATTAGTAATTAATTGGTTTTAATTATAATTTAAAAAAAAAAAAACAGTCATTTTCTTTCTTTCAATTTTCATTTCTTTTCATCTACCGTCAATTTAATATGATTATTGAATTGATAAAGGATTTTGTGTAATTATTTTTTAGTTTTTTAACTAAATTATTGATAAAAGTTTATTGAATGATTATTTTTGGGTAAATTTTAGGAAAAAAGAAAAAAATATAAAAATGAACTAACCTACAACATGGGCAAATATTTTCGACGGAACGTTTCTTTCTACCTGCTAGTCTAGCACCAGCAAAGAGATATCTAAAATGTGCACAATAAAAATCCATAAGAAATTGTACATTTGGACATAGGAAACATGGTAGTTCTTGTCGTTTAATTCGACGACTTCTCAGTAAGCTGTTATCAGTGTTATCAGTACTGATAGAATGATCATTTTTCATTGAAATGTCTAATTTAGCCATCATTACTGGTACAATCAATAGTAGTAATATAATCCAATTAAATCGCATCATTCCGGTGTGCCTATATTTGTCCAATTTGATCTTAAATTATAATTTAAATTTTAAAATTGACATTGAAAAAATAACGAAATATCAACATATCAAAAGAGTAAATCGGTTGTTATAGATAAATGTTACTTATACTTACATGAATGTATCATTTTCATACTGATAAAATATCACTATTACTTAAGTAATTTAATTGAAGGGAAGTTAATTCAAGTATCTCGAGATTTATAGAAACAAGTAAAATGAAAGAATTGTTATCATTTGTTCATTAGCAATTTACTTTTTAGTATGGCAATCATCGTCCTAGCTTTAAATGTATTTGTTATTAAAAAAACGACGAAAATAGAAAAAAAAAAAAAAAAAATGATTATCTGTTAATAAATGTTGACCTTAAATCACAACGTGACGTGAGTGACGTGTACATTGCGGATCCTGACTTATGTACCTTATATATAATTTATTAACAGT